GATATGTTATATGAAATGTGTTATTAGGTGATTTTGTTATTGTGTGAACATCATAGAAGGTATTTACACAAACCTAGATGACACAGCCAGCACACGCCTAGGCTCTGCGGTACAGCCTATTTCTTGTAGGCTACAAACCTGTCCAGCATGTTACTCTACTAAATGCTGCAGGTAATGTAACACAATGGTATCTGTGTGTCTAAACATCTTAACATAGAAAAGGTACTCTAAAAACATGGTATTATACCCCTAGAAGGTCTCAGGGTGAGACCTTCTCTCAAAAAAAATATGATATTTTAATCTCATGGGATCACTATCATACTATCCAGTCTGCCATTGACCAAAACGTTGCTATGTGGCACATGACTGCAGTAGATTCTGGTTAGGCGTCCTGACGTCAAGGAAGGAAAAGACGTTCGTCATAGCCATTCATTTATCCACTCAGCAACGGTTCCTTGAGGGAGGCATTGCAGGAGAGTGTGTTGGCAGGGTTCCCTGGTACGAAGGCTAATTGCTGTTCAGTCTGCACATGCTGGTGTGACTGTTGCAGTTTTTGTTGTGGTTGTTGTTTTGGTGGTGGTTGTTGTTTTGGTGGTGGTTGTTCATAGCATGTATCCACCATGATAGGTTGGCGCATCTATTCTGATTGGTTGGTACCAGTGCCATACTGATTGTTAAAAGTTGCAAATGACACCCTTGCCTGGAACAATGCTCTTTTGCAAAGACTACTTTTCTGCAAGAAAATGCCATTTTTAGGTTAAACTCCCTTTCATCATTAGAGTATCTCCTTTATTAGATGGAAGCTGTAGATTCTTAGTTAAGGTCTAAGCAAGATGACATGACATTAGAAGGTAGTAGTTTGGATGTAGGTATAATGTGATTTGAAAAGATTGGGAGGTTATATGTGCTTGGGGACCTGGATTCGAAAGAGCAGGCTACTTTTCTTGAGGGCCAGGGCGATACTCAGTCAGCCTCCCAAGACAGAGGTCTATGAGGGGGAGCCTGAACAGCAAACAGGACTTATACCCTCTGTTCCACTGGAACACTGCCATTGGCCCTGCCACCACCCCACACAGCAGCCTGCACAGTGCTGCCCGGAGTGGTAAGAGCTGACCTCTTTTCCTAGCCCCTGAAATTGGGATCCTCCTTCTTTCCCTCTTGGGAAGGTGGGTGACAGCCTTACATCTTATCTTGCTTTTGCTTCCCTCTATACATAAGTCTGTTTTCTACATAAAGGTCCCAGGATTAAAAGGAAAAGAAGCTTTTCTTTTTTTTTTTTTCTCTTGGGGACAGAGTTTCACTCTTGTCACCCAGGCTGGAGTACAATGGCACAATCTTGGTTCACTGAAACCTCTGCCTGCTGAGTTCAAGCGATTCTCCTGCCTCAGCCTCCTGAGTAGCTGGGATTACCGTTGCTCACCACCACACCTGGCTAATTTTTGTATTTTTAGTAGAAACGTGGTTTCACCATGTTGGCCAGGCTGGTTTCAAACTCCTGACCTCAGGTGATCCACCTGCCTTGGCTTCCCAAAGTGCTGGGATTACAGGTGTGAGCCACTGCGCCCGGCTGAAAAGAACCTTTTCTTAGTTCTACTTTTGGAACTAGAACATCTGACTTTAACCAGTCAAATGCAACACCTAAAGCTACCTGCTGGGCATTGGGCATTGAGAAGGCATCTTACATACATGCTGCCATTCAACCCTCACATCAATCCAGTGAGATAGGCATTACTTCTTCCAAGTTCTGGATGAGGCTGAGGCAAGACCTGGGATGCAAACCCAGGCCTGCCGCTTCATGGCACAGCTCTTACAGGTGCTACCTCTGCCCTAAAGGGGCTTACAGTCAGCTGGAAAAAATTGTGATGAACCTCTAATGTTGACTTATATTCATAAATTATTTAAATATGCACAAATACAAACTTTACATACATTTATTATACTGCTAATAATTTTGCTACATTTCCTTATATATGTACCCAAGTATTTGGGTCTTTAAATAAAGTAGCTATGCTTTTCAAAAATATCCCATATGCTAACATTTTCCTATGCTAGTCACAAAATTTAGAGAATTGTTGTTCTAGGCTGGGCGCAGTGGCACACGTCTGTAGTCCCGCAATTTGGGAGACCAAGGCAGACAGATCACCTGAGGTCAGGAGTTTGAGACCAGCCTGGCCAACATGATGAAACCCTGTTTCTACTAAAGATACAAAAAATTAGCTGGGTGGGGTGGTACATGCCTGTAATCCCAGCTATACTCGGGAGGCTGAGGCAGGAGAATCGCTTGAACCCAGGAGGTGGAGGTTACACTAAGTTGAGATCACTCCACTGCACTCCACCTTGGGCAACAAGAGCGAAACTCTGTCTCAAAAAGAAAAAGAAAAAACAAAATTGTTGTTCTTGTCTACAGCCATACCACCCTGAATATGCCTGGTCTTGTCTGATCTTGAAGCTAAGCAGGGTCAGGTCTGGTTCGTACTTGGATGGGAGAAAATTGTTGTTCTTTTTCATTCTTGCACCAAAATATGGGATTTCGCTATATATTCAATGATTCACCTCTAAGTGGGCATTTAGGTTGTTTTTGATTTGCGTCATGATAAAGCACACTGTAAAATATGTTTTTACACATGAACCTTTGGCTGCCTTCCTGATTCTTTCCTTGGAGTTAATACTCAGGAGTGAAATTACTGAATCAAAGGGCATAAACAGTTTTAAAGCTTTTAACATATATATTTCTCTAGAAAGGTTGTACTAATTTGTCTACCTCTAAGATTGAAGAATCACTTTGGGATGTA